CCTTCAGGTGCAAGGCAAAGGGCTCCATCCAGATCATGAGTAGCCGTCCAAGCGCGGCAAGGGCATACCATAGCGTGAGTAATCAGAGGCAGCGACATCCATTCTAGGCCAATGTGTCCGCATGAGGAGTAGTGTGGCGGATCCTGCAATGGAGGCGGGGTCTAAAGGAGCAGAAACTGCGGTGTCTAACCTGCTTCGCGAATTGGAGAGGATGAGGCAACGACATGGACGTCAAAGGCATAGCGAGAGTTTGTCGGCGTCATGAAGGGGGTGGGGATGAGATTTAGAGTTTCGGGTCCTCCACGGGGGCTGAATTCCTGTAATCTTGCTGTCAATCTCTTCTGAAATTTTGCTCATTATTAGACGGACGCTAGGGGCGGAAGGTTTTTTTTATGGGAGGGGCGGAAGGTTTCGTGAGTTTCATCTGCCTATAGAATTTGCTAAACGTACATTTTGGTGGGGCTATTATTACGATTGACGGTTATATTCAATCAAATGGGACAGATTGTAAGGTGGAAATTGGTTCGATGTTCTGTGTACATGTGTTGGGATGCGTTTAGGAAAGAATATGTTTGCTCTTTTAATAGTAGTAGAGAAAAAGAAAAAAAAGAATGTTTTTTTAAATCCTTTTTTCTTTTCTTTTTCTTTTCTTGCAAGAAAAGGAAAAGAAGTAGTCTTTACCTTAAATATAAATCCCAGCCATCGTCGTTCCTATCGAATAGTTAATCTGGATCCGTCTTGAAAAAAAAGTCCTAGGATGGCGATGTCGACGGCGACGCGGATGCTGGCGCCCCACCCCGCCCCTGGTCTCCTCCGCTCCGCCGGTGAGGGGTTCTGTCACCCGCCGCGGTCACGAGGGATCGAGCGGAGGGCGAGGGCATGGGTTCTGTCTGTTTGTCCGAAGAAGAGAAGCAGAGCAGAGCAATGGTCGGATCGGAGCGAAGCGGAGCAGAGCAATGATCGGATCGGAGCAGAGCAATAGGGTGGATGGATGGATGGATGGATAGGCATTATATATCCGTAGTACTAGTATTTGTTTTGTTTTTGTTTTTGTACAAGACGCTGCTGCAGGCGCAAAGAAACGCCGCTGGTACCCTTTTGTAGCATGCTTCCATATGCAAATTTATATTAAATATTTTGAGTTATTCATAACTCTAAATAAAAATCATAATATTTTTTTCATTTATACAACTTATATCAAATAGGTTTATCTCTTGTTTGTTATTTTTATTTAATAATAACACAAACTATATATTGGTGCTAAAGTATTATTTATTTATTTTTGAATTTCACAATGACTAAATCTTGTACTAAAATATTTTAAAGTAATAGGAAACTCTAGTGCGTTCTTTTCTTTTCTTGGAAGCAAGGAAAGAAAATATTTCTCTTCTTAATAAATAAATAAAGTAAATCCCAAGCGACCGTCGAATCTAATCCAATCCAAATAATAATTCTTGTCGAGACCCAGCCAACGATGTCCATGGCGGCGACCCGGATGCTGGCGCGCCGCGCCGCCCCCGGCCTCCTCCGTTCCGCCGCCAGCCCCGGCCTCGCGCTGCCGGCGGTGCTGCAGGCGCAAGGACGGTGGTACCGCGCAGCAGGAGGGGACCCGTCGCCGTCGTTCTACGAGCCGCCGCCGACCCCGGCGAACCTGGGCCTGAGCATCGTGCCGGAGAAGAAGGCGTTTGTGGTGGAGCGCTTCGGCAAGTACCTCAAGACCCTGTCGTCGGGGATCCACCTCCTGATGCCCGGCGTGGACCGCATCGCCTATGTGCACTCGCTCAAGGAGGAGGCCATCCCCATCCCGGACAACTCGGCAATCACAAAGGACAACGTCTCGATACAGATCGGAGGGGTGCTATACGTCAAGGTTTGATTTTTCTTGGATTTCCTTTTCGATTCTTGTTTAGCTTAGAAGAAGAATCTACTCTACTTAGTACTATTCATGAATTGAATCGAATCTAATGTCGATTGGATTGGAATCGAAACAGATCGTCGACCCCTACATGGCCTCTTACGGCGTGGAGAACCCCGTCTATGCTGTCATCCAACTTGCGCAGACAACCATGAGGAGTGAACTTGGCAAGATTACCCTCGACAAGACCTTTGAGGAGAGGGACACGCTCAACACCAACATTGTGGTATGTATTATAATTTCATCTTCATCTTCATCTTCATCTTCAGAGGGACTTATCTTCAGTATAGAGATTTCTTCTGTTTTGTTTCCCAACTACAGAAGTCAATCAATGAGGCAGCAGAAACTTGGGGTTTGAAGTGTCTTCGCTATGAAATCAGTATGTTTCTTTTCTTTCTTTCTTTCTTCAACTAGAGTATGTTTCTTCAACTGATGCTTGTCTATCTTTCTAGGGGACATCACTCCTCCAGATGGAGTCAAGAAGGCCATGGAGATGCAGGCCGCAGCAGAGCGCAAGAAACGTGCTCAGATCCTCGAGTCTGAAGGTAGTAGCTTTTACTAACTTGATTCTTCTTGTTTAGTTTAACAACCTTCTTCAGTTTTTATTTATCTGATCTGATGATAAAGTTGCACAATGAATCCTGACTCATGTCAGACAAGTGCTCTGCCCATATACTAGTGCTAGATGCAAGTTGCAAATTAAGTCCTGCTTCCTGATTTATGCTGCCAAGCATATAGTGTCGGATTTCATCGTATGGCAAACTGCTCTTCAGTTTAACAACATTCTGTTTTTATGCGAGATAAGTTGCACAATCAGTTTAACAACACTAAATCCTACTACTTGCTACCTGACTGATATTGACAAGTGCTCTGGTTCACCCCATATTATATACTAGTGCTATATGTAAGTTGCAAACTAATAAATCCTGCTAACTTACTGATATTGCCAGTAGACACTGTTGGAATCCTGCTACCATACTCATGTTGCCAAGTAGACAGTGTTCGATTTCATCAGACCAAACTTGTATGGGCCCTTCAGTTTAACAACATTCTATTTTTATGCCATGATAAGTTGCACACTGAATCCTGCTTGCTACCTTATGTTCAGCCCATGTGCTATGCTAGTTATAAGTTGTAAATTGAATCTTGCTATGCTACCTGACTGATGATGTTGCCCTTAATAGTGTTAGTTTTCATCAGACCAAACTCGTATCGCCAACTCTGTTTGAGCTCTTACACCATGTTTTGTACAATAAACTAGAGATTTAACTCCAGGTTTTGTTTTCTTCTCTTGTGCCAGGTGCTATGATGGAAAATGCAAACAAAGCAAAGGGTACGTGACATCTGTTTTATTATCCTGCCCCGCAGATTCTGAAATATTTTTGCTTGCTCTGCTGGTCAAAATAATGTTAGGATTGCAAGTCCTGCTATTCCTCGCAACTGTTGTTAGGATTGGAAGTAATAATGGATAATACCGCCTCATGGACTTGTTCTTAATTTCTTTCTGCTTGCATGTATTTTTTTCCCTCATCCATTCAAGGAGATTGAACCTGATGCATTTCTACACAGGGCAGGGGTTTAAATTATGTCTCACTTGTACAGAAGGTTCACTAGCTAGACACATGCATCTTATGGCAATGAATTTCATGAAACATCAAGTATGCATTTTAGCACAGATGTTCAGTTCTACTGTTTGTATTGTTGGACGACTATACATACTTGAAGAGCTATTCTGATTATAATAAATGATGTCCCAGTTGACAAAACCAAAGTCTTGTCATTTCTACTATATTTATTATTTGCTTGGAACATATTTCGATTGTTGCCCTCTGGTCTGGTGAAGCTAAAAAGTGTTGCTTGACTCTTGGACTTACGCTTGTTTTTCTATGTGGACACCAGGTGAAGCTGAAGCGATTCTTGCCAGGTCGCAAGCCACTGCTGAAGGGATCAGGATGGTCTCAGAGTCGTTTAAAACTGAAGGCAGCACGGAGGTATCACATATTATTATTTTTTCTTGATGGAATAGTTGCTCGTTCCTTGAATTAAGATTTTGCTTTTGCCTAACAAAACATACATGGCTGCTTGTGATTTGTACTGCAGGCTGCCAGCTTGAGGATTGCTGAACAGTACATCAGAGCATTCAGTGAACTGGCTAGAAGTGTGAGTTGTTGAATCTTAATAATTATAGTATATACACGACTCTTGGCGTTTGCTAGCTGATATGAAATTTCATTGTACTTACTGATGCGTGTGTGTTTTGCCAAACTGCAGACGAACACGATGCTTCTTCCCAGCGACGCAGGCAACCCGGGGACAATGATTGCCCAGGCGCTCCAGATATACAACCACACGTACAAGCAGAAACTGACGCTGGGAAGCCCCAGCCCCAGCCCCAGCAAGCGGGCAGAAGAGGAGGCTGATTTGTCCCTTGGGATGCCATCCGTGAGCGACCTCGGCACCTTTGAGCACCACAAGTAGAGAGAGTATCTTCTTTTTTCTTTTCTTTTCTTTTCTTTTCTTTTCTGTTAGGAAGGAGAGGAATGAATAGCTAGACTGGGTAGATAGATTGCTAGGGAGGAAGTGCAACTTTGTCACGAGAGAAGATTTACTGATTTGCTAGGAGCAGCTTTGAGAGCAAGCTTTTTGTCTCTCTATATGAATTGAGTTGAGTGGTGTTACACGCACAACCTTTGAATATGTTGCATGAGATATTTTATTAGTTTTGGTGCAACGATGTTTTCAGCTTTTCTTGTCAAGTTTTTGTTGCTACAGTTTTTTTTTGGGGGGGCATGAAATCTGATAGATTTTACTACAAAAGAATGCTGCCTAAGTTAAGTTGATTGTTAATGTTGTGCTGGCTCTTTTGTTTGTTGTCAATTGTTGTTGTGCTGGCTCTTTTTTTTGTTGTCAATTGTTGTTGTAGCAGCAGGAAATAAATAAATCTTATTATCCTACGGACGGGCGGGCATGCACAAACCAGGTTAGGTTACTTGTAGAGAAAATAATCCCTCAGATAACAACAAGACTTGCTTTGCATATATGTATACATGTTGCACGGACAGATATGCATGTTTGTTGTTAATAGCTAGTCAGTGGCATCATCCTCCTCCTCCTTGGGCGGCGACTGTTGTTGACGATGGGTAGGGCTAGGGCTAGGGGAAGGCGACTGTTGTTGAGGATGGGTAGGGCTAGGGCTAGGGGAAGGCGACTGTTGTTGAGAGGGAGGGGAAGGCTTGGCGACGCCGGTGAGGTAGTCGAGCGCCGTGACAACGTCGGCGATGGAGGGGCGCATGGTGGCATCCTCCTGCAGACACATGGCGGAGATGGCGAGCGCCTGGTAGAGCCCCTTGGTTGGGTATGCGCCGCGGAGGAGCGGGTCGGCCATCTCCCTGAAGCGCTTCTTGCTCTTGAACCGCGGTGCCGCCCACTGCACAAGGTTGTGCTCATCACGGGGCCTGGACGTGTCGATGACGCGCCGCCCCGTGATGATCTCGAGGAAGACGACGCCGAAGCTATAGACGTCGGACATGGTGGTGAGCTTGCCCGTGAGCGCGTACTCGGGGGCGCAGTAGCCGTAGGTGCCCATGACCCTGGTGGAGACATGGGTCTTGTCGCCGACGGGGCCGACCTTGGCGAGGCCAAAGTCGGAGAGGTGCGCGCGGAAGCAGCCGTCGAGGAGGATGTTGGAGGCCTTGAAGTCGCGGTAGATGACGGGCGGGCCGGGGCGGCGGGAGGCGTCGTGGAGGTACTCAAGGCCCCGGGCGGCGCCCTGCGCGATGCGCATGCGCATGGCCCAGTCGAGCCCCCGGGACGACGGCGGCAGGTCCAGGAGGTGGTCCTCGAGGGAGCCCTGGGGCATGAACTCGTAGACGAGCATGCGGTGGTTGGCGTCGGCGCAGTAGCCGATGAGGGTGACGAGGTGGGGGTGCTTGAGGAGGCTGAGCATGAGCACCTCCACCAGGAACTCGCGCGTGCCCTGCAGCCCGTTGCGGTCCAGCTGCTTCACCGCCACCTCCGTGCCGTCCCGCAGCCGCCCACGGTACACCGGCCCGAACCCGCCCTCGCCCAGCATCGAGTCCACCCGGAACCCGCCGCTGGCCTCCGAGAGCTCGGCCAATGTGAATGCGCGCGCCGTCACCGCCGCCTCCTCCTTGTTCATCCCCAGGATCTCGTCAGCCACCCGCCGGTTGTGCTGGTGCGTCGCTGCCCACATTGCAAATCTCAGTGTCTCTTATTTCACCTCACCTATCTATATATCATTATGTATGTAATGTAGGTACCTGATTCTGCAACAATCTCATCGACGAGGGTGGCAAGGTTGTTGTTGTTGCTGCTGCTGCGGGCGCCCTCCTCCTCTTGATGATCGTCATCTCGTCGCAGCAGATTAGGGGGGCGGACGGTGACGGCTGGAGCGTCTCGGGGAGGCGGCTTCTTGGTTGTGGAAGAAGGTACGGCCGCCGGACCACCACCACCACCACCACCACCACCACCACCATGACCATGATCCAGGAGCTTGTCGGCGCCGGACTGGAAGCAACACAAGATGCCCATCCTTCCTTGCTTGCTTGCTAGGTGGTGAATGCTTGAGCAAATTCTATTCTACTACCTAACGATACATAGAAAGAATTTGCCCAAGCATTCAATCCAATCCATTTTGTTTCGATTCTTCGATCCAATCCCAATCGACACGATGAGCAAGGTCATTGGCGGCCCGCCGGAATCCATGCCATGACATGCCACCCACATGCTAAGCTAAACAAACGTAGGGTTGATGGTTTGCCCGGCTGGCAGGCCTAAGCACCAAGTGCATGCATGCATGCCCCCCTCCTAATTTTAGTTACTAGGTACATTTCTTTCTATCTATCTATCTATCCCTAGCTTGCTTCTTGTTTCAGGCACATAGGATAGGATAGGATAGGATTCAGACATCAAAGCAAGTGAGTGAAGTGATGCTCAACTCAATTCAATTCAATTATTGCCATCTCCAAACAACAACAACAACAACAACAACAACAACAACAACAACAACAACAACAAAGCCTTTAATCCCAAACAAGTTGGGGTAGGCTAGAGGTGAAACCCATAAGATCTCGCAACCAACTCATGGCTCTGGCACATGGATAGCAAGCTTCCACGCACCCCTGTCCATAGCTAGCTCTTTGTCGATACTCCAATCCTTCAGGTCTCTCTTAACGGACTCCTCCCATGTCAAAATCGGTCGACCCCGCCCTCTCTTGACATTCTCCGCACGCTTTAGCTGTCCGCTATGCACTGGAGCTTCTGGAGGCCTGCGCTGAATATGCCCAAACCATCTCAAACGATGTTGGACAAGCTTCTCCTCAATTGGTGCTACCCCAACTCTATCTCGTATATCATCATTCCGGACTCGATCCTTTCTCGTGTGGCCACACATCCATCTCAACATACGCATCTCCGCCACACCTAACTGTGAACATGTCGCCTTTTAGTCGGCCAACACTCCGCGCCATACAACATTGCGGGTCGAACCGCCGTCCTGTAGAACTTGCCTTTTAGCTTTTGTGGCACTCTCTTGTCACAGAGAATGCCAGAAGCTTGGCGCCACTTCATCCATCCGGCTTTAATTCGATGGTTCACATCTTCATCAATACCCCCATCCTCCTGCAACATTGACCCCAAATACCGAAAGGTGTCCTTCCGAGGTACCACCTGGCCATCAAGGCTAACCTCCTCCTCCTCACAGCTAGTAGTACTGAAACCGCACATCATGTACTCGGTTTTAGTTCTACTAAGCCTAAACCCTTTCAATTATTGCCATCTCCATCAAACCAAATTTCTATGAATATTCTTTCTTGTCAACTATCTCCTCCTCTTGTCGCAACGACAAGAAAAGAAAAGAAGAAAGGCTCAACTCTCAACTGATTTCCCCACCACCAGCAGTATCACTAATCTTACAATTGTCGTCGTCATAAGCAGAAGTGCTGCTCATCAGGTTTAGGTTCATCACGACTGGTTGCTGACCCTGACTGCCATCATCTGAAGGTAGTGCTTCTAGCTGCAGTTCCAGGCGAGCATCCATGGCCAGTATCTCCCAGTCGTGGTGGCGCAGAAACGAAAGCACACCATCCTCTTTATGCACAAGTAACACAAGACAAGATAAAGCAGACATTATAAGAAAACTAGGTACTGAAGGAAATCCACGAGTATCTATCTATGTATGAGTGTCAAGAAAGAAGTAGCTGTTGACAAACCTCCATTCCGGACGGCCTCGATCTGAAACACTCCCGAACCCCGTGGCCCTGTGACCGGGAACGTGCACGCCACGGATCGGCGCCGATGACCCAAAACGACAGATGCATCGTACCATGGGCCTCTAGCTATAGGCACCCCGATCGCCTGTACGACCTCTGGGTTCTCGCTAGCCTTGTCGATCGCCTTGCTGGATTGTAGGCACATATCATCATCATCATCATCATACAAATCATGAAAGAAAGAAAGAAAGAAAGAAAGAAAGATTTAATAGGAGATATATGGAGCATGTTCTTCGTTGGTGCATAAATATTTATCTAATGTTCCTAATAATAACTGAAAAAGGGTCCAAACCTGCATATAGTACAGGTACAGGTACAGGGTATACATAGAAAGAAGATTATTCGAAGAAAGGTGACAAATTCCAAGAAAGCAGAGCAGTTATATCATGTACTAATGTAGATGTTGAATTGATTCTAGAGAGCAGAGCAGAGCAGAGCAGAAGCAGAAGCAGAAGCAGATGCAGAAGCAGATGCAGATGCAGATGCAGATGCAGATGCACATCCTAGAGACCTGGTGCATCCGTGGAAGATGGCGAGGTCGTTGATGGCGCTGAGGGCGACTCCCCCGGCCAGGCTGATGGCCCCGATAGCCACCACCTTCCGGACTGCCGTAGACCTCTTCTTCTTCTCTCCGGCGGCACCGGCACCGGCAAAGTAGGAGGAGGAGCTGAAACCAACTCAGTCCATGAGCTGGAAAGAAAACCAAACAAGAGATGGTTGCTTACCGGCCATCTCCAGCGGATCTGCTGCTTCGGCCGGCGAGCAGGGGAAGGCCAAGCACGAGCTTCCTCGTCCTCGTCCACGCCGCCGGCGACATCGAGGACTGAGGAGGAGGAGGGTGAGTGGGTGTGGGCTCAACTGAACTGAAATGATCAGGTCAGGCCTTCATTCGGTGGGCCGGACAGACAGGCCCGGCCCAGCCCAGCCCAGGGGAAGCTATCTAATCTTCCTTCTCCAATCCTTTCCTCATAAAAAAACAAATATTCCTTCTCGAGTAGTAGTAGTAGCAGTCGTCGTCGTCGTCGTAGTCTCCACTCCTAATGGAGCAGTGGTAGTCTCGCTTCCAGGTTTTTTTTCGTCCCACCTTCCATGGTTTTTTTTGGTACCTCCTCCCACCTTCGCTGGGTTTTTTTCGTAGATTTTTTTCGTCCCCTCCTCCCAATTCATCGGTTTATTTTCGCGTCACCCTCTCACACAATGAAAGAAATCTGAACAGATCAGAACTTTTCATACTGGCTCAAGTTATTTAGTAATGTAGAATCAATCACGAACAATCTTTAAAGATCAAATCTAAATTAATTAACATTACCTTAAATCACTCAATCACATTAATTAAAAAACAAATAATTGATTTTCAGAAAAATCGCTCAATCATATTAACCTTACCTTAACTCATGGATGATAATCAATCTCCAAACAAAGGAAACAATACATCGAGGGAGCTGTAGATAACTCCCTTTCTTATGACATGTATATGATCTTCCCTTCCCTCTCCGTTGTCGAGTGTTCTTGATTCTCGAGGCCGATGCTTGGGCTGCATCACTGGGTCGTGACGGTGCCGGAGGACGAGGACGGTGAGGCCGGGCATCGTGGCACCGCGTTGGCCGCGGCCGGTGAAGGGGGCAAAGAAGGGCGGCTTCACTGGTCGTGGCCGTGGCCGTGGCCCAGTAGTTGGTAGTCTCGCTTCCAGGTTTTTTTTCGTCCCACCTCCCATGGTTTTTTTGGTACCTCCTCCCACGTTCGCTGGTTTTTTTTCGGAGATTTTTTTCATCCCTCCTCCCAATTCATCGGGTTATTTTTGCGTCACCCTCTCACACAATGAAAGAAACCTGAACAGATCAGAACTTTCCATACTGGCGCAAGTTATTTAGTAATGCAGAATCAATCACGAACAATCTCTAAAGATCAAATCTAAATTAATTAACCTTACCTTAAATCACTCAATCACATTAATTAGAAAACAAATAATTGATTTTCAGAAAAATCACTCAATCACATTAACCTTACCTTAACTCACGGATGGTAATCAATCTCCAAACAAAGGAAACAATACATCGAGGGAGCAGTAAATAAACTCCCTTTCTTATGACATGTATATGATCTTCCCTTCCTTCTCCGTTGTCGAGCGTTCTTGATTCTCGAGGCCGAGGCTTGGGCTGCGTCACTGGGTCGTGATGGTGCCGGAGGACGAGGACGGCGAGGCCCGGCACGCGGCACCGCGTTGGCCGCGGCCGGTGAAGGGGGCGAAGAAGGGCGGCTTCACTGGCCATGACCGTGGCCGTGGCCCTGGGAGTTGGTGCGGTGGAAGCGCCACTTGAAGGATCCGGCGGGGTGGCCGGCATGCAGACGCACTTGGAAGTGGGCCCGTGGCCCGCGCCGGACGGCACCGATGCTGACCCGGGCCACCTCCTCCGCGTATTCTTGGAGCTGTGGCTGGCCGATTTACATGAAATTAATTTCCTCAGTTGTGGTGGCAAATATAATACACATAATCCATATTGTTATGCACTAGCGTGTGTGTGTGTGAAATAGATGAATTATGGTCCCATACCCAATAAGATGGATATGTGTGTGTGTGTTAGAGAGAGAGAGGGAGAGGGGGAGAGAGAGTGAGGAAGAGGGAGGGAGAGAGAGAGTGTGTGAGGATTTGACGGTAAAAAAGGTCGTCAATGTCACTTGATATGTATGAAAATATTAATATTGAACTCTTAAAGTTAATGTGGTCCCGTTGCAACGCACAGGCGGTCTTCTAGTAGTAGTAGTAGTAGTGCTGTAATTTGGAAGTTTGCTCCTCCTAACTCCTTTTGTTGATATGCCAAAGTTATTTAAAAGAGGTTCAACTTCACATCTTTCCACCGCTCATTACAAAGAACATAATAACGTCTTTATGTTTTATTTACTTACTAGCAAAAGGGCCCGTGCATTGCAAAAGAAGAAAAAATAATTCATAGTCTTCAACGGCCACATTTTGTTCACATCTCATTGCATTTTTTTTAATTTGTTCACAAATGCAAGAAAAATGTTCCTTCTTCAAAATTCATTCACAAATTAAAGCAATGTTCACATTTTCGCAAAAAATATCATGGTTGTCAAAAAACTTGGTAATTTAAAGAATTGTTCTGAATTTCAAGAAACATTCTTTTTAAACATACTATAAATTTTGACCCACCACGGCAGTTAATTCTTCAAAATTCACGCGGATATATAGTCACAAAGACACATAAGCATTATTGTTTGACTACATATGTTTGATCATTCATGAATATTTTCACAAATTTGGGAACATTTTCTTACAAATTTGTGAACATTTTTTATATTGCGAATGGTTTTTAAGCATTTTCTTCTGGATCAGTAAAACTATGATACCTTGACCTAGGGTCATGGTGTTTACCCTGACGAGTAAAACTATGATACCCGAATAAACATAGATGTGTATGGAGGCAAACTAGTCATTTTCATATAACTAGCAAGATGCGCGTGCATTGCACGGAACATCAAGATACATTTGTATGGGTAGTTTATCTTGTGAGAGAAAAAGATGAACGAGAGAAGTCCTTATCTGCAAGTGTGGAGAGAGATGCGGGTATCTTTTTGTAAAATTGTCATAGTTTGCTTTCTATTCGTCAGATATAGATAGGACGGTCTATATTACATGATGGCAGGCACAACATCATCACCAACTCGGTCTTTTATAAGAGTAGAGACTTACAAAGACTAATCCGTAAGAAGTTGTGTCAATTTTTTTGGTCTCAACACTGCACAAAACGTGGAAACTTTTTTTACGCGACTCGCGTGTACCAAATAAAATCATAAAACAACCTCTACATATCCCAAAAAACCTCTATGTAAGCATGTTAGTTCTGTTTGTTATTTACAAATCTGTTTGAAGTTTTGTGAATATTTTCTAAAATTTACATTTTTCAAATTCCTGAATAAGTTTTGAGTACATGGTCGTTTTTTCCTAAAATCATGAGTATTTTTTGCAAACGTACTTTCAAAATCATGATTTTTTTATAATATGAAAACATTTTTAAAATACCAGACATTTATGATTTTCCAAACATTTTTGAATTCATGAAAATTTTATGATTTCTCAAAAGCAATGCATACAATTTTTAAAATATTGGAAATTTTATGATTTTCCAAACATTTTTTGAATTCATAAACATTTCACAATTTTTAAAGTAAAATTCAAAACTCACAACTTCTGAAATCCTGAATAAATTTGAAGAAGGAAAAACAGAAAAGGAAATACGAAAAGAAAAAAAGGGCATCATGGCCCGATCCATGAACGTGTGCGTGGTAAGAGAGAAAAAGTAGGGGGAAAAAGGGGAGTACCATTTTTTTAAATATGCAAACAATTTTTAAAATACTGGACATTTATGATTTTCCAAACATTTTTTGAATTCATGAAAATTTTATGATTTCTCAAAAGCAATGTGTACATTTTTTAAAAATATTGGATATTTTATGATTTTCCAAACATTTTTTGAATTCATGAACATGTTATGGTTTTTCAAATAAAATTCAAAACTCACAACTTTTGAAATCCCTAATTAATTTGAAGGAGAAACATAAATAGAGATAAGAAAAGAAAAGAAAAAGGAGTGTCATGGCCGACCCATGAACGTGTGCGGGGTGGAGGAGGCACTCTCGCTATTAAGAGAGAGAAAAGTAGGGGCAAAAAGGGAGGTACTAGGATCAAACCCGGAGTCTCCGGGGTGGAAGACAACGGCTATAGCCATTGCGCTACGCTTGTGCCTATGATATTTCTAAGGGTATCACTATATAAGAGTCGGACCCGACGACAACGACTTTGAAAAAAAATTGAATCGTTTTCTTCACTTATTAATGGCATTATGGGTGATTTACGACAACTTCGGGGGCAATTTTTGTGACGTACCACCAGAAGCGATAGCTGCTTTATTATTTTAGTTAGGTATAGATAGATACACTTCTTTGATATGAGCGGATCTGCTGCTGCGGCCGGCGGATCTGCTTGCGGCGATCAGGGGAAGGCCAAGGAGGAGCTTCCTCGTCCTCGTCCACGTCGCCGGCGGCATTGACATTCTTTTCTTTTTAGCGAAGCGAAGGTTTCTCTTCTTGGCTGTGAGGGATGAGTGGGCCGGGCCGGAGAGTCAAGCCCAACTCAGGGAAAGTTATCTCATCTTCCTTGCTCATCGAGTGCAGGGGTAGGAGTAAAATGCATAAAACCACCACTTAAGCATCATAGCTCTAGGAAAACCATCACTTTACAAAACATGATATTTTGCATCAAACGAAAAATTGACAGTGGCAAAAAACACTCTTGATGTAGGCAGGAGTCGGTCGGTGTGTGGAATAATAGTAGTAGATGCAGAATCGTTTCGGTCTACTTGACACAGACGTGATGCCTATATTCATAATCATTGCCTTGGATATCGTCATAACTTTGCGCTTTTCTATCAATTGCTCGACAGTAATTTGTTCACCAATAGTATTATTTTCCTTCAAGAGAGAAGGCTCTAGTGAAACCTATGGCCCCCGGGTCCCTTTATCGCGTCGGGTGCAAGTGTTTACTTGTTTGTGTAGGTGCGTAGATTGGAGACTTGTTTGTACCTCCTACTGGATTGATACTTTGGTTCTCTAACTGAGGGAAATACCTATCTCTACTTTGCTGCATCACCCTTTCCTCTTTAAGGAAAACCAACGCAAGCTCAAGAAGTAGCAGTGCACCGGACATGGTTTGCACATGAACAAATGTTTGAAAAATTTCAGGAAAAAATTAGTGCATTGACACAAAATCATTCAATGTTGTCACAAAATTTCATATCAAAA